TTTTTTTTGGTTGATTTTACAACTGTTTACCTGATTCACAATGTAAAACTCTTTTCTCCCATTGTCTCCTTTATAGTAACTGAAGTTTTGCATATGTATTCTACATAAACATATATTATTCAAAAGAAGATAAAAATCATGCACTGAACATTAGTTGTAGTTTGCTTAGCTTTAGTGTTAAGGTGTTTCCGCAAAACCTAACTCACGGTGGCGCTAGACACCAGCCCTAACAGTTTTCATTTCCTGTATTCATCGGTGTGGACGCGCATTCTTGCGCTCTTGTGTCTCACTTAGGGCCACCTCCCGAGAATTGTAGTTGTGATTTGTGTTTTGGGGTTCAGGTAATTTTTTTCTTATTTTTCAGCCTCTTAATAATTCATCTCTTAGGATGGATTCGAAGATATTCGTGTTTCGTTCGCGTGAGTTGTCTTTCTTCCTTCTTTTGTTCCATGTCGCTCATGGAGACATGAGCTATTCTTTCCCAGAGGAAATGAAACGAGGATCCGTTATTGGAAATATAGCTAAAGACCTCGGGATGGAAACGGGCGCGCTGTCCAGCAGGAGAGCCCGCATCGACGCCGACGGAACCGACAAACGTTACTGTGACATAAACATGAATAACGGAGAGTTGATTGTTGCAGACAGGATTGACCGCGAGGGGCTTTGTGGAGAAAAGGCTTCGTGCATCCTAAAACACGAGCTTATGCTGGAGAATCCGCTCGAGCTTCATCGTATCAGCCTTCACATTCAAGATATCAATGACAACGCACCACAATTCAATGAAGAACGTATCAATATAGAAATTCGAGAATCCGCTGATAGAGGAGCTCGTTTTGTGATAGAAGAAGCGCACGATGCGGATGTGGGGCAAAATTCAGTGCAGCAGTACAACCTTAAAAAGAATGAAAATTTTATTCTGTCTGTAAATGGAAACACCAGAGAACTCGTTCTTGAAAAAGAGCTTGATCGTGAAAAACAACAGGAAATGAATTTAATTCTCACAGCTTTGGATGGTGGATCTCCTCAGAGATCAGGTACATTAGTAATACACGTCACTGTGTTGGATGCTAATGATAACGCCCCAGTGTTCAGCCAAGCCGTTTATAAAGCCAGCCTGCCTGAAAACTCTCCTTTAGATACTGTAGTGGTTACAGTAAGCGCAAGTGATGCAGATGAGGGAGTTAATGGAGATGTGACGTATGACTTTGTGCATCTTACAGAAGAAGTGAAGAAGATATTTAGTATTGATCGTAAAGTAGGTGACATAAGAGTAATTGGTG